TGGCATTTATGGCATATACCATGTGGCGCTGCATTTATTCTTACTTAATGGTGACGAATGATGTTTCTGTTGCCTTCAGAATAGTTTGCAAGAAGGAACCTTGTCATCAGCTAATGACCAGCATAAGGACTGTCTGAGTCTGTAACTCACACGTAACTGCTGGGCACGCCAGAGCTCCTGCTTATCAACACTGATTGCCTGGGTGCTTAGAAGACCAGGAGGTCTCATTTTATTTTCATTCAAAATGCGCTGAGCACAGGCAGTCTCAGTGGTCAGCAGATCCAGTTAGGACCAAAATAATGCACAGCAGAAATCCTTCTTTCCATTCTCCAGACGCTGAGCTTGGCGTCACAGAGAGGTCATGGAATCCTAGGACCCTCTCTTCCAGGATCTTAAAAGCTATTCCCTTGCCATACTTGACACTATTTTCAAATCTACTTCTTTTTTTAAGATTTTATTTATTTATTTGACAGGTAGAGTTATAGACAGTGAGAAAGAGAGACAGAGAGAAAGGTCTTCCTTCCATTGGTTCACTCCCCAAATGGCTGCCACAGCCGGCGCTGTGCAGATCCGATGGCAGGAGCCAGGTGCTTCTCCTGGTCTCCCATGCGGGTGCAGGGCCCAGGCACTTGGGCCATCCTCCACTGGCTTCCCAGGCCACAGCAGAGAGCTGGACTGGAAGAGGAGCAACCTGGACTAGAACCCAGTGCCCATATGGGAAGCCAGCACTGCAGGCAGAGGATTAGCCAAGTGAGTCACGGCGCCGGGCCCCTCAAATCTACTTCTTTAACATCAACTGCTTTTCCCCCTATTCATCAAGTTCTTGGAAAATGTAAATGCAGGTAGCATCAGCTGATATTTCTGTCTTTTAACATTTCATCATTTTCTTTAAAAAAATACCACTCACTTCCAGTCATTCTCCCTGTGCTTTGATATTGGTATGGAAAGGATGTGGTACCACCCATTGGCAATGACCTTAGAATCAGATTTAGGACCTTTTGTAGTCAGATTCCATATTAATTTCCTAAAGATGCCACAGCAAGTTGCTCACATTAAGTGGTTTAAGAGAAACGTATTGAGTCTGAAGTCTCACATTGGAATCAAGGTGGCAAGACCACACTCTCTCTAAATCTTATAATGGATAATATTCTGCACCAACTTCTGTTGGCCTAAATGTTCCTTGGCTTGTGACAGTATGACTCTATAAACAAATCTCTATTGTCACATGGCTATCTTCATCCTGTATCTGTGAGTATATTTGTTTCTTCCTACAAGCACACCACTCATTGGTCTAAGGGCCCACTCCACTCCAGTGTGATAGCGTTGTAACTGAACTAACTTACATCTGCAACAAAGCCATTCCCAGATAAGGTCACCTGCTGGTATAGCAGGGGTTAAAAATTAAGATATACTTTTGGGGTGCCCTCAACTCATAACAATGATCTGTGGTTTGATTGCTAACCCCAACTCTTACCAGTAGTACGACCTGGAGCTTGTTACCTGTTCTCTTTTAAGTCTCAAATTTTACTTGTATTTGGGGCTGATAAGGCTTATATGAAATAATGCAGGTAAAATGCCTAGCACATTGCTTCCTATACTAAGTTCCCAAGTCCCAGCAGATCTGATTATCAATATATTTGTAAAGGGGGCTTTATGCTAAGGGTTTAAAGCTAGGATTCTTGTTTACAGCACAGAATCTTTCATTTAGAGGAAATCTAATTTGTAATGTGAGATCCATTAATAGTATTCTGAGGAACACTGAAAATCACATACAAAGATTAAATATTTGCACTGCTTCTGTTTTTCTGTCTAGAAAAAGATTCTGGGTATTTTCCAAAGGAGTCCATGCTATTCCCCCAAATGTAAAGAATGTGTTTGCACTAAAATTCAGCATTCCATTGTTACAGTAGAAGCTTTGTACAGGAACTTCAATCTAGAAACTTAGAGTGGTGTCAGAAAGAAAAATTGAGAGTCATCCACTAGGTGGTATAAGAAAGATCGATGCTTCTAAGAGTGAATGTCAAAATGTGAGACTTTCCTTAGGTTGTCTCATTTTATTCTCAACATGTATTGTGAGGAAATGATCAACCACATGGATTTACAGAGCCGAGAACTGAGCCTCAGCCAGGTGAGACAACCCGTACAGGTTCACCAGACTAGACAGAGGCAGCGCTGGAATCCTGCTCCAGACTTCTGCCTGACTCCCAAAGCGGAGCGCTCTACGTTTCATGTTGTTTGCTTATCTTCTTACTAATCTGACTCTTAAAATGATCCTGAAGTATAAGGAAGAACGGTTTAATCACTCCCTCAATTGCATGAGTGTATGCGAATAAAAATAGTTTTTTAAAAAATGCCAGTCCTTAGGGCTGGCGCTGTGGCGCAGTGGATTAAAGCCCCAGCCTGCAACGCCGGCATCCCATTTGGGCGCCAGTTCGAGTCCCGGCTGCTCCTCTTCCGATCCAGCTCTTTACTATGGTCTGGGAAAGTAGTAGAAGATGGCCCAAGTCCTTGGGTCCCTGCACTCGTGTGGGAGACCTGGAAGAAGCTTCTGGCTCCTGGTTTCAGATCAACTCAGCTCTGGCCATTGCAGTCATGTGGGGAGTGAACCAGTGGATGGAAGACCTCTCTCTCTTTCTCTACCTCTCTCTGTAACTCTGTCTTTCAAATAAATAAAATAACTCTTAAAAAAAAATGCCAGTCCAAGTTAGAAAACCAGCGAATGGGAAAAAGACTGCTACCTCTGACTTCCACTGTTGTTTCTTTCAAAAACAATAATAGCTCTTTTGAATCAAGTGTCTATTTCCTTTATATTTTACATACATTATCTTATTTAATCCCATCACAACCTTGTTAGGTAAGAATTATTATATCTGGCCAGTGCCGCGGCTCAATAGGCTAATCCTCCACCTAGTGGCGCCGGCACACTGGGTTCTAGTCCCGGTCGGGGCGCCGGATTCTGTCCTGGTTGCTCCTCTTCCAGGCCAGCTCTCTGCTGTGGCTAGGGAGTGAGGTGGAGGATGGCCCAAGTGCTTGGGCCTTGCACCCCATGGGAGACCAGGAGAAGCACCTGGCTCCTGCCTTCGGATCAGCACGCTGTGCCGGCCACAGCATGCCGGCCGGGGCGGCCATTGGAGGGTGAACCAACGGCAAAAGGAAGACCTTTCTCTCTGTCTCTCTCTCTCACTGTCCACTCTGCCTATCCAAAAAAAAAAAAAAAAAAAAAAGAATTATTATATCTGTTTTACAGATAAGGAAAAAAAATGGAAGCAAGATTTCCAGGGAACGATGGTGAACTGAAAACATTCTTCTGTTTTCATTCCTCTCTGAAAATATCACTAATATGATAAAAATTACTGTAATATTTGGGCTCACAGGATGAAGCGGAGGGCAGAGGAGGCTTAACTGCCAATGCCATAGCAATTGGAAAGCAAAAGACAAAAGTGAGAAGGCTTCCGATGTTGGTGGGAAAATGGACTGGGAAGAGGAGCTTGCTGGGTATAAAACATTTTTGGAAAGCCATGCATAGTTTTTCATGCCATGCATCTTCCGTGAATTTTTTGAAGACTGCTCATAAAACTAAGAGAACCGAGAACAAAGCGACCCCTGGGGAAAGCTGAGAAATGAGCAGACAAGTACTGGAAGAATTGGAGGCGTCAAGTGCCTGCAGGTTAGGAGTTAAGGGTAAAATTTAAAATAAGGAGGCTGACTCGGATATGTGCTTAAAAAAACAGTCCAGTCCCTTTTCCCATCTCAGCAAGAGAAAAAGAACCAAAACCAAATCCACCCGATTGTACAGTTGGAAGGGCTGTTAAGGGGGAGGGCGAGGCGCAACTGAGTGCAGGGGAGGCTTCATGGAGAAGCGCGGGGCCGCAGATGAGCCCAGACTGGATGCTGAGGCCCTGGCCCAGCCCTGCCACTGCGCCCTGGTAACACTGGCAGCCAGGGCCACCCCCTCAGGAAAGGAGTGATGGAATCTTTCGTGGAGATTTTCACGAAGCCAAGAAGGAAGATTTAAAAAACAAAGGTTTATATACTTATTTAAGAGGTAGAGTGACAGAGGCAGAGGGAAAGAAACAGAGGGAAAGGTCTTCCATCTGCTGGTTCACTCCCCAAATGGACACAACAGCCAAAGCTGGGCTGATCCAGCGCCAGGAGCCAAGAGTTTCTTCTGGGTCTCCCACGTGGGTGCAGGGGCCCAAGCACTTGGGCTATCTCCCACTGCTTTCCCAGGCTATTAGCACAGAGCTGGATCAGAAGAGATGCAGCCAGAACATGAGCTGGCTGCCCACATATATGACAGCACCACAGGTGGAGGCTTAGCCTACTAGCCCACAGCGCCATGCCCATGTCCCCTGTCCCCTCTCAAGAAGGAAGATTTAAAGACAACAGCATTGGAGTCTGCTAACTCAATGTCCTGGCCATAGCCAGAAGCTACCCTATCAAAACTTATGTTGGCAAGACCCACATGCTCAGATCATTCAAAGAGTGGTTTATAATCAGACTCACAGAAAGTAAAACAAATTAATGGGGGAAAAACTTAAGGGAAACGATTAGAGAGAAACTATATCAGAGAGATATAATAATCAAACCAAATCAAAAGAGCACCTCCCCCCACACAGGAGGAGGAGACCATGACAATAGCCTTTAGAGAGAAAAATTAACCATTGGAGAAAACAAGTATAGCATTGGGGTCTGCGCTGTCATGCAGCAGGTTAAATAAAGCCCCAGCCTGAAGCACCGGCATCCCATATGGGCGACGGTTCTGGTCCTGGCTGCTTCTCTTCCGATCCAGCTCTCTGCTATGGCCTGGGAAAGCAGTAGAAGGTGGCCCAAGTCTTTGGGCCCCTGCACCCATGTGGGAGACCCAGAAGAAGCTTCTGGATCCTGGCTTCGGATTGGCTCAGCTCCAGCTGTTGCAGCCATTTGGAGAGTGAACCAGTGGATGAAAGACCTCTCTCTCTCTCTCTGCCTCTCTCTGTAACTGTCTTTCAAATAAATAAAAATAAAATCTTTAAAAAAAAAGTATAGCATGAATGGAAAAATTCAAAAAGGGTTCAGAGAGTAATTACAGAAACGTCCCAGGCTAATAAGAAAACAGAGACAAGGGTAGGGGCAGGTGTTTGGCCCAGCATTAAGATGCTGCTTGCAGCTATCACATCGAATATCAGAAGGCCTGAGTTCAAGCCCCAGTTCCTCCCTCCATTCCAGTGTCCTGCCCCAGGCTTAAGTAGTTGAGTGTCTGTCATCAACATGAGAGACCTAGATGGATTTCCCAGATCGGACCTCAGTCGGGCCCAGGCCTGTCTGTTGGGGGCATTTGGGAGTGAACCAGCAGCTGGGCAATCTTCCTTTCTCTCTGTCCCTGGACGTCTGTCTCCCTGCTTTTCAAATAAATACAATAAATACACATTTTTCCAAAGAAAAAAATGAGTAAATCTAAGAACATTTAAGAGCCAGCATAGGAGTTCTAGTTTCTAAATAATGGGAGGTACAGAAAAACAAATCGGGAGAACCATCACTATATAATTTAAGAAAAAACAGCCCAAATTGAAAGATACAAGTTTCCATAATGAGCCAATCAGGTGCCCGGCACAATGAATAAATCACGAAGTTTTGAAGCGTTTAACACAAATATATACGATTGCCAGGTTCTGGAAACAAAACTATCACCTCCAGAGGACCAGACAACAAAATAACTCCAGACTTCTCAACACCGTCCTGAAAGCTAGAGAACGTGGAGAGCAATGCCTTCAGATTCCAAGAGAAAATAATAAACTACCTAGAATTCAACTCTCTGCCAAATCCTCATTTGAGTGTGGGTAGAATATTTTTCATATATCCATTATGTATAACGGTATCTCCTCTGCAGACATTCTTAGAAAACTGTTGGAGGGTGTGTTTCATAGAACAAAGGAGTGAGACAAGTAAGAATGAGAGCTTGCCAGGAATCCGTCACCAAACAAGAGTGAGGGATGATGGCACAGAGGTTCCAGGCGTGCAGCTAGCCAAGAGCGCAGATAAACAGTCCAGACTGGATGAAGTCAGAGGGCTGTGGGACAGACACTTTGAGGAAAGATGGTGATGTGACTGAGGCATCTGCACATGATGAAAGGGCACTAGACAACTAGAGGAGAATTTGCAATTGCTTTAGGGAAAAGATATAGCAACGAACACACCGTGTAAGTAAGACCTTTATTAACCCCATAAAAACAAAAAACTGAGTAGGAATGGAAAAGCAATGAGTTTACCATGGGTCTCAGGATGAAACTGTTGACTACTAACCTAATCAAAAATTGTGTCAGATAGGATTACGTTGGAATTGTTGGAGCATGCTGGGCTTAAAACTGAAAGAGCAGGAACGTGAGTCAAATCCTTATGTGCCATGTTGGAAATTCAATAAATAATGCCTAACTGCAAAGAAGGAACAATAAAATTATACTCCTTAGAGACATGGTGGAAACTTCCAAATTCATTGGCCAAAAGAGGTAAACATGCTTGCTTCTTGGCTTGGGGGACAAATGAAGCACAGGGCTATAATTTCATCCTTTTAAAATAGCAAAATTTTAAGAAACATTTGCTTCTTTTTATTATATTTATGGAAGCATAATTTGGATAAAATCAAATCATTAAAAAGACTGAAATGGATCAAAATATGAAGCTTTAGGTGGTTTTATTTTTCTTTTTCCTACTTTTCTGCAGTTAAACCAAAAGCATATTAGTTTTATGCAAAAAATTATCTTCATTGTAAAAAAGAAATTGAAATTCAGAGGTAAGAAAATTTTTCTAATATCTTTATGTATTGTAAATGGTAGTACCGGAATTACAATGCAGCTCTCTGCTGTTAAGGATTCAATCTTCATTAAATTCTGTGAAGCAAAACTGGCGTACCTCACCCGTCTCTCTCATCCCTGGAGGTTCACAGCGCTGCTTTTTATACCCTATGAGCTAACACTTGATATTTTTCATTTACTTAATTGTCTACTTACTTTATCTATTTATTTACTTATCCTCATCTAATTCCAGGAAGGTGAGAAACTGGGTTCCAAAGACAAAAATACTATGACAAACCAGCGTTCTGTGTGGAAGGGCGCTTGATTCTCGTTTCTGTGTTCTCAGAATGCGGAGTGAGTCACAGTGCGTCTTGCTTCTGCCTTTGGAGAGGGTGGTTTCCTGGAGGTGTGACTGAGCCCCAGGCCCCTGTGCGTTTCCATCACTGCCTCCCAGAGTCCCGAGCACACAGGTACTCAGTGTAAGCTCTCTGGGTGCACTTGTCAGAAAAGATGTGGCATCTGGGAGTGTGATCTCAGCTTCTTTCCTACCTTGCTGTGAGTGGTTCATAAGGGCTTAAGTGAATCTTTGTTTTTTAATATTTATTTATGTATTTATTGAAAGAGTGACAGAGACAGAGGTAGAGATGGAGTTAAGGGGGAAGAGAGAGAGAGGCCAGTAGTCTGAAACCCCAGATGTTTCCCACATGGGTGGCAGGGGTCCAAGTACCTGGGCCATCTTCCAGTGGGTCCCCAGGTGCATTAGCAGGGTGCTGGATGGGAAGTGGAGTGGCCAGGACTGGAGCCAGCATTCTGATGTGGGATGCCAGGCAGTGACAGGCAGTGACTCAACCTGCTACACCACAACATTGTCTCCACGTGAGGCTTTCTTCATCACTGACTCCATTTGGGAATCCAGCGTGGCAGAAGAAACATTCACTTAATGTATACAAAGTTAGGAAATCCACCTGAAAAACTGTCTTTTTAACCAGTGCTTAGATTTTGCCTGTCCTTTTTCTCTTTTCCTTGGCAAATCATGCCAAGTCAATTCTTAAAAAAGAGTAGGACATTGAAAAGGGGCCAGTTGTCTTCAGTCTGACAAGTACATGATAGACCAGTGTTGAGTGTTGGGACCTTTCTGTTGCCATAGTGAGATACATTTACGGCTGTTCAAAGATCACACACCTGTGACAAAGCAAATACCCTCTCACTCCCACTGTGACCCGTCCTTCAGTCTCTACAGGGTTTTCATCCATGTATTCACTTAGGAGAGTTGGTGATTATGAGACAGATGGGGTGGAGAATAATAAATAGTTCCCTACATGTCTGGACTCAAAGAATGAGTAAGTCAATTCTTTTGAGATATAAATGCAGTGTCTAAGAGGAGCTTCTGAAGTAGTCTCGTAGTCCTTTATTATTATTATTATTATTATTATTATTATTTTTGACAGGCAGAGTGGACAGTGAGAGAGAGAGACAGAGAGAAAGGTCTTCCTTTGCCGTTGGTTCACCCTCCAATGGCCGCCGCGGCTGGCGTACCACGCTGATTCGATGGCAGGAGCCAGGTACTTATCCTGGTCTCCTATGGGGTGCAGGGCCTAAGCACTTGGGCCATCCTCCACTGCACTCCCTGGCCACAGCAGAGAGCTGGCCTGGAAGAGGGGCAACCGGGACAGAATCCGGCGCCCCGACAGGGACTAGAACCCGGTGTGCCGGCGCCACAGGCGGAGGATTAGCCTAGTGAGCCGCGGCGCCGGTGCAGTCCTTCTTTTATATTGCAATCACCGAATGCTTCTTCTCATTTCCTGGGAAGCTGTCTTTCTGATGCTCCAATCAATGCAGGGATGAAATGAAAAGTTGCAAGGAAAAAGGAGGTATCAAATGCCTTGTAATGCTTTTCTTGGGATTTAATAATAATTTCCTCTAGAATGCTTTGCTGGGCCTCCTTGGACTAGGTCAGCTTTGTCCTCTCTACGTTCGCATCACACCCTGATTAGCTCCTCCCTGCTGGAGACTTAAATCAGGTTTTCTAAAATACAAAGGAAAATTGGAATTATTGGAAGGTGATTGGGGCTGCTGGCAGAGTAATGAAAATAGGGCCTATATGCAGATACTTTAATGCCATCAGTGCTTGCTCTTTATCTTATTATTCTACTTTATTCCATGTATTGGCTTTATTCTCTTGACCTGCTGCTTTGCTTTTTCTACATTCAGTCAGTTCAGTTCTCATTTTCTGGAAGCTTTGTGACAGATGGGGAAGCATGTACTGCCCTATCAGACAGCCCAGGGTACAGATGTAGATTGGAATGGCTTGGGCCATAGTCACATGCCCAGAGTAAGGCTTCAGGATAGGGATGTGGGGTGCTGTGAGTGACCAATACCAGAGCCTGCAAGTTGTTGGTGGGACCTGGATTGGTGAAAGACAAGCCGTAGAAAATGAAAGGCCCTGCCTGAACAGAGGAGAAGCAGAAATATGGGTCTTATCAGAAGCCATTATATTCTGGTGCATGACTATCTTTGTTAAAGGAACACAGTAGAGAACAGTGTTTAAGGGCAGCTGTGGTGTCTCCTTGAATAGGACTCTGCCACTCTGCTGCTCACCTACTCTGTGGCCTTGGAGAAATTACTTAATTTTTCTGGGGCTTTACTTTGTTTACCTATATGGCCACAATAGTAGTAGTATTTCATAGAGTTGATAGAAAATTGGGATAATGTATGCAGCACGTTTAGAGTAATGATGAGTACTGCTTGCGTGACTACTGGATGTTAGCAATGATTAATTATCCTGTTGTTCCATCAGACTGTACATTTCATGAAGGAGGTCACCTGGGCTTGCTTTCTCCCAGGATATAGCATAATGTCTGGGTGCTACTGAGTGAGCAATCAGTAATTGCATCAGTGAACACAGACTGAGTTCACGGAGCAATGTCTGTGACTGCCTTTTCTGCACGTAGGGTCTTCCACTGTGCCAGGGAAAACCATTAAACATTTGCTGGATCGGAGAGTAGAACTGGAAGCTGTGGCCAGCTAAGCAAGCTCTGTTCACATGCTGAATTGACTTGGCCTTCAGAGAAGCATAGCCTGAAGCAGTGTCATGTTTAAGAAGTAAAATTGTGCAACAAATTGATGTAAAACGGCAGATGAGACCTTTCTGTTTTTATTTATTTTTTATTTTATTTGAAAGAGAGAGAGAGAGATGGAGATGGAGAGAGAGATTTCTGTCCATTGGTTCACTACCCAAATGCCTTTTGGGTCAGGCCATAGCCAACAGCCCAGAACTCAATCTGGGTCTCCTATGTGAGTGACAGGGACCCAAGAACTTGAGACACTGGTTTCTGCCTTCCAGAAAGGCACATTAGCAAGAAGTTGGATTGGAAAGAGAGTATCAGGACTCAAACTGGGCACTCCACTACAGGATTTGGGCATCCCAAGCAGAGCTTAGCTGCTCTGCCAAGCACCCACTCCCAGGCAAGACTTCCACTTGACTTTTTCCTTCCGTTCTTGTGGATGCGTCTTATTTTGCTATACTTGAACTCATTCAGACTATTCTGGTTTAGTTTGCTAACAATTTGGATCATATTACTTTGGAATTTAACATTGTGCCAAATAAGCAAACATTTACTAAATAAAATACCAGCATAGGCAAGATGTGGAGGGCCTCATTTAAGAGGATACTCACACAAAGTAGTTCAAAAACATTCACTTACTAACAATCCTATTGCCATGACTGTAAAGAAAAAAATTGCCAATTGCTTTAACTTTTAGTTTAAGAAATAGTAGAAAGGCTTTTTGGAAACTTTAAAATTTAGAAATATTTTTGTCCTGCGTATCTTGAATAGATGCAACATAATTTACACTAGAGATGTACTCAACAAAAGAAATTTTAAAAACTAAGCATCAGCAGTGAAATCATATCGGGGCACATAACTGGCCTGGCTGTTAACATACTGCCTAGGATGCCCCATCTCATATCAAAGTGCCTGGGTACAAATGGTAGCCTCACTTCCAATTCTAGCTTCCTGCTAATGTAGACCCTGGAAGGCAGAGTGTGATGGTTCAGATGGCTGGGTCCCTGTCACCCATGTGGGAGACCTGGATTGCTCCCAGCTCCTGGTACTAGCCTTGATGGTTGTGGGCATCTGGGGAGTGCGGCAGCAGATAGAGGATTTATCTCTGCTTCTCAAATAATAAATAATAGGCTAAATTAAGACTAAAGAATAAAATGTAGCGTATGTTTTTAACAATCATGAAATAAAAAAATGTCTTTCAAAGAAAGACACAAACCCAGAGAAACAAAAAGGAAACGATTGATTTATTTGACTATTTAAAATGTAAAACTTTCACATTAACTAAAAATATTTTTAATGATCAAAAGCCAAATGGACATTCTAGAAAAAATATTCCTGAAAAAT